TATATATATGACCTTATGAATATTTTAAAGAAGGGACAGCAAGTCAAAACAGGACATATAGACAAGAGATATAAACAGGGCATATAAACAAGATATGTAAATCCACTGAATTAATTGTCCCCCTTATCCAGAGCCTCCTCTAATCATGATTCCTGCCTTTTTGGAAATTGTGGGGCTTATAATTAAAGACTGGTGATTATCTGTTGTCCTTGACAGTTAGGATTAGGATTTAGCATGAGGTCCCTGACCAGCATGTCCTTGAGCTACTCAAAGGAGAACATCCCAACAACTTTAGCACCTTGAACAGAGTCTCACCCATTCTAACTAACAGTGTGACTTTGCCTATAAAGGCTACTTTTATCGTATCATTTGCTAATGTATAAAACCATAATCTTAATAAAACAGCCACCCCTCCACACAGCTCTAAGCACACATGCTCAGAACAAGACACAAACAAACACATCACTCCTTTGTTCTCGTCCTCATCCACACACAGGCTATACAGTCCGAACCTTGTCCGGTCCACACCAGGCAGCCACTCTATAGCGGTTAATGCACTGAAAAGTCAGCCAAAAGTCTGAGAGCAGAGGACAGGGTGGTATTGTGCGAGGTGATGTCCAGACAAGTACAATTCAACCTTTATCTCAGACAGTCCGTCGTCTGGCCAGGAAGTTGCCATGGAAATACCCATCTTACATTATGGTCTGTTGCGCTGCACTGGCCCTGTGGCTGGGGATGGATCTCTCTTTTCAGGGGCCCTGGGCAAAGCTTTATTTGAGAAGCCCCCCTACCAAGAAAACTGATGATCATGTCACTTCCTCTGCAATGCAGGTAATTTGGGGGCCCTGGTAACTGCCCATTCCGCATGTAGCTCTAGCGGCCCCCCACCCGTGGCAAAAATGAAACATGGACATACACAGGAACCAACACAAGCCTTCATTGAGCCGAAAGATATGCAGACGCAGCCTGGGATACTCACTCCCCTCTTCTTTGTGGGAAAACTATACGAAAGACGTGGGCTTGTAATGCTTATAGTACAGGAAATGTCAGGTGACGAGTTATTTTACCTTTGCGTTCTAAGTTTCTCCGTAACAGATGTGAATATGTAGGGAAATTTGATTCCGTGTGTAACTTAAGCACAGAAATAAGCACAGAAATAAAAAATGATGCCTCAGTAGCCTCGTTTAGGGCTTACTGGGAATGACACTTATGACGTAACATTTTATGGATGGTTGATCCATGAGCTCTGCTATGTTTCAACACACAAGAGCGATTTCCCTCCATGGAAATCAGCACGGTGCTTCCTGCTTTGGGATTCCGCCCAGGTGCGTTTGGACAGCAGAATTCTCCTTCTTCAGCTTTACCAAGAAAATTTTAGTTATGATTCAAACTGGGGGAAAATAAAATAAGTACTCGTGGAGGAAGACTTCCTTTCCTGAAACTGCAGCTTGTTCAGAACTGTGTGTGTATTCAGCAGTGAAGCATCGCACTATGAAAAACACACTCACTGCTGGAGCTCCGGGTGATGGATGGGCAGTAATGACCCCCCGTGGATCTCATTAGCGGGGTTATTGATTTGATTGGGCCACCTGCCTTCCTCTTAGCTCCAGGCTCTGTCCAGCCCAACCTGGTTAACGGACCGAACCCTGCTGAGGGTTTAGAGCCTCCATGACCTCTCACGCACACACACACACACACACACACACAAATCTAATCTGCACAGAATAAAGATATTTTTCAAACTGAATCAAATCAAATAATCATTAATCAGTTCTAAATCACTAAACATACATAAAGGATTGTTTCCTCTTAAAAGTACATGTATACATAATAATCTGACCCGCAAAATGTCCTCTCTGATTATTTAAAAGCATATAAATTAAGACTTTGGGATGCTGCCTTTAACAGAGGCTGCTGGAAGTACATTCAAAGGCATAAAAAAGATACGGAAAATTGGCAGTTCTGTCAGCTGGAAAAGCAAAGTGAGGCAGAGTGGATTGGTTTTTTATTACTAATGGGACGCCCTTCCAAATGCAGCGTGCGGCGGCGTGACAGCCTGGGGGAGAGCGGGGGCCCTAACGATGCTCTCTGCGCGCACGCTGTCTGTAACGACGCTGCCGCTCGGGGCTCTGGCCCGTCTTAGGCGGCACCGGAGAAGCGAGCGACGTCGCTAAGGCAGCCGGGCTCTGGGATGGCAGCGTGCGGCACAGATGGCCAGGATAAGGCCCTGCTTCCCTGGTGTGGCTGGTTGTAGGGGTGAGACTGGCAGCAGAGTGGTGGAGCGGCTGTGGGCACTAGTCTTCGGGCCGTGAGTAAGCCGCGGTCTCATTTCCCGGAAGCTCATAGAACCGACTCGACTGGCCTTGATTCCATTCAACCTAAAGGCGACATTCATTCTTCTTCCTCATCTCCGGGACGTGCTCAGATGTCAGATGGAGGGGGAGGGGCATTCTTGGGGCAGAATGACGTCAAATAGCAAAGCCTGTTATTCAACCCTTGTCAAAAGTTTACACTCTTTACTTCTTCACCCAGGGACAGACTGGAGGTCTGGAACCCCACCCCCAGTTCTAATTCACCCCCACCTCCCATAATCCCTTGAACCCCTCTGTGGTTCCCATTCCCTTCTCATGTAACACAACCTACCCCATTAAATAAAACCCCCTTTCATACTTCAATCCCTGTATCAGATGGACCTGTTCACCATCCACGCACAAATCCTACACTTACGAGGAGCTGGACAAATGAATATAAAATGAGTCATAACAGTGATTAAATCAGCACATTATTCCATTAGCTGGCCGCTTACTTAGTTGCATGGCGTAAGGAGTGCTGTTGATGCTTCTGGAAGCAGATGTTACTGGCAGCAGGTGGAGCAGGTGTCTCTGCTGTTGTAGCAAGCAGGCAGATGAGTGCAAAGCTCTGGAGCAGATGGGCAGCTGAGTGACTTAAGTGGGGCACTGCACAATCCAACGTGTCAGGGAACCCTCAGCGGACATGGGGAACCCCCAGCGGACATGGGGTACCCCCAGCAGTCATGGGGAACCCCCAGTGGACATGGGGAACCCCCAGCAGACATGGGAGATCCAAATCACAACATATTACCTAAAAATATTACCTAATCGCAACGGTACCTATGCCTATAACCCAATGATGTCATCACCTCCCACCACCATTTTTAAGAGCACTGTGGCATTGTTACAAGTTGTAGGTGTTCTCGGTGTAATCTGCTTGATCTGAGTTTCTTACTCAAGTCTTTGTTCCTCCACTTATTTCTCTTCTAACTTATTTCACACCTCTTATAACTCACCCTCCACAAGTGATTTATTTTTTCCTAACCAGATATTTCATAAATAAATACGTTGAGCTAATGCTCATGTTACACCGTTCTGCACATAATCCCTATACTGATACGTCAATATGCGATCTCTCTATGTTCTGTTTAACAAATGTACAGGGAAAATGTGAGGGCGTACATATCGATGACAATGCCAATAACAATGACTGTATTGCAGGAATGATTAATGTAAAAGAGCGTGTAAATACTGGGATTGTGTAATCAATAGGAATCAGTCAGCCAGTGGCAGGTATAAGCGATGTTCAATGAGCACTCTCTTAATTAGAATAGCAGTGTAACATATTGTTATATTTAACATAGGGTATTCTTAAATCAGTGGGAAAATAATATTCCTTACTTCAGAATCTATTTTGTCCTGACGTACATCTTATCTCTTCTGATCGTCTGCATTGTACTTCAGCACTGTGCATGTAAGAAAAATATAATAAGAATATATATTGTGACAGTGCACTCAAGTATTCTGCTGGTTAGTGTCTGTAACAGCAATTCTAAATTCAATGTATTGACGATGCATGCCTGCGTTTTTCTGATTGTTGTGCACAAAAATCAAGTTGTTTCATGACAAGAATGAAACAGCACAGTTTGTGACAAAATTATAAGGTGAGTTCTGCACGGATTAAATAACATGTGCTTGGTGCTATTAAACTGAAAATGCAATTAGGCTATTTCCCGAACAATGTGGAGACATTTTAATAATTTTATGTCAGCAGCATCTTGCACTGATGCGGCAAAGTGACAGCCTGTATTCAAGCTTAGTTCATCCAAAGCAGGCTAGGTTCAAATGGGGATCTATCCAACTGTTCCAGATGAGCAGCCCTGATGAAAACAGTCATCACTCTCAGCCACAGCAGGTTAAGAGAGCAGGCTGCGCTATAGCTGCGAAAATGGCTTAGATACAAGTCGGATTTTCACTTCATTCAACTGTTTTCAAACGGGCTTTTGCACATCTGAAATGGACTATTGATTTGGCTTAGAAATAATAGCTGCATTAAACCAATGATTGTAATAGTGACTCTACTGATTGAGACGTGAAGCCGGTTCATAGCAATCCAATTGTATAACAAGACCAGATGATAAATCTACTGGGTTCAGTTTCAATTAAATTTTTGATAGGGTCCCCTGTCCAAAAAGTATTTTGAGATTTTTCTTTGTAAAATATTCTCCTGCTACACCTAACGTGTACAGAGGCAAGTCTGTTTAAATACTTTGAGCAGAACTTCCCCACTGGAAATTGCAATATAAACGTCTAGGATAATTTTATCATCGATTTCATCCTGTCTCGAATACGTTATGGAGATCTGTACTTTTATTCTAGGTTATATTTTAAAGAGTAGTTGTATTTCGCGGTACCTGTAAGTGTATCAGTACATGTCAAAGTAATTATTTTTAAGGTTTAAGCTACTGGTTTTAACCGGTCCAAGCATCTCTAATATTATACAAATAATGGCGACAACATATTGGACTCCTTATTTATTTTAATGAGAATGAACTATAGCAATACTTCTAATAATAATGTAAATGGCTACGTTAGACATGCTTGTGTTTCGTTAGGTTACGGTATGCTCGCCTTTCTTAGAAGCCATGACGTTAAATGTGATGGGCTGCTTTAAAAGGCTGGCGCGTCGACAAAGCCCTTAAACAGATGGCCAGCCTAAGCAAGAGAAGCTGGCGGAGCAGGGAGTTATTAAAGGGGAGCGCCGAGCGGCCGGGGAGGCTGAGGGAAGTTTGCGGAGCGGAGCGGTGCGGAGCGGGCGAGCGGTAAGAGCCACGCCGAGCCGATCTCTCTCTCTCTGCGGGAACTTTGCTGGAGTTTGCACGATTGGCAGATGTCCAATATTACGTGCATTTTGTTTTGGACGGAATGGTTTTAATTTTCCCGGCGTTTTATCATACACTGATCAGAAACCAATGTATGCATTTCATTTTTGCTTTTCAACAGAGTAATTTACCACTGCGGCGTATACAGTTCGGATTTCATACATGCAGGTCATTGGCGGCGTCGGGAAAGTTACTGTGCTGTAATGGGCTCGATCTGTTTTTTAAGATTTCATATGGCAAGCGCTATAGACGACGAATGAATGAATTAAAATCTTATAGCGTAATTTCATAAACCAATAACAACATATAGGAAGCGATACGGCTCAGCGTCAAATGGTTTCACTATTAGCCCAGATGTTAAAACATTCGTCCTCCTAAATCACAGCAATAAATTATTATTACTACACAACATTTATATTTTTCAAGATATATATATATCGGAAATATTGTGTTTTCGCGATACAAGGCACAATTAATCACTTTAGCCCTTTATAATACGCGGCTGTGTTTTAAAAATGTAACTGATTAGGATTTAATAATATGTTGTGTTGAGTGGAAATTAGAGATATATTTTAAAATGTCAACTTTTGTCGAAAACTGTAATGGTTACTGCTGTGACAGTTTTACCTGTAATTTTTCCAATATATATTGGGGAAATTAAGTGTTATACATGAAAAATAACTACAGGTCACTTCTAACATCTAAACGATTATATAGATTTTAGAGAGAAAGGAAAAAACAAGTACTAATCATACTTAACAATTATATATAGGTGTTGTTTCACCAATTTATCTTCTTCCGCGAAATGAGAAAAATGGCAATTCGGCAATAAGATCTAACCATATGGATTGAAATTACTGGTCATACACGAATTGGTAATTCTTTAATTTCCGGGACACAAATAATGCCGTATTATACTATTACGTATATAAAAATTAACTACAAACTCTTAGTTACATACTGATCTCATATGTTAATTCATCATGTATAATGAATCGTGACGCATCTTTTATCTGGAAATAGTCGCTATATTTGTTACTACTGTAATTCTGTAAACCTTTGCGAACTACTGAAGGAACAAGTCGTGAATAACAAGTTAAACACTGATCTCATATTTTCATCTTTAATGATTCATGATGCAACTTTTATCCTAAGCACTTACTGTATCTGTTGATTTTGTAAACCTTTGTGAACTACTGGAGGAACAAGTCATGAATAACACAAGTGAAATACTGATCTCATGTTTGTTCATCATTAATGAATCGTGACGCATCTTTTATCTCAAGTAGCGACTATATTTGCTCATGTTTTGTACTTCAGTGGTGAGTTATTACTAAGTATTTGTGCCCCGTCAAGTAAATTGTTACCGATAAATTTAACAAAAAGGACAGCGTACAATAGCCCTGCATTGCCAGTAGACACAAAAGTACCTTACTATTATACTGTGTGCTATTACAAGTAAGAGTGTAAAAAGTTACAATGTGATGGATATAGAAGCACGATCTTTTAAATCATGAATTTCATTATTTACTCTGAGTTACGTGTCACTGACTGTGCCTTTGCTTGTCAATATCGGAGGAGGCGTTTGAAAAAACATTGAAATGTCAACCACGTTGAAATTATAAATAGCTACCTGGATAAACGCACAAAGTAAACGTACTTTGAACAATACCGTATAACAATTATTTCTTAATCTATATTTTTGTGGCATGAATATTTAAATTTGCAAGCATGCGTGAATAAGCCTTGCCATATGTGTTAGACTATAGCAGTAGGCAATAGGCGTGTATTGTATACCTATTTTTTAAGGCATATTAAGGGGGTATGGACCTGGGGAGACCAGGGTACATGGCCTCCCCCCCAGTTTTTAATTTGACCTCATTCATCCCCCAACAAATAGACCTTCATGATTGTGTCCCATAATATCATTCTCTCTCCTGCACTGTTGGGCATATCTTTTCAGTACAGCCCAAAGTATGCTTGCAGCTAAAGGACATAGTTCAGTCAATTGTGTCCTTAGCTGTAGTTTCATGAAAGCAGGGGTGTCAAACTCCAATTCCCTGGGGGCCACTGGCTGTGTGGCGTTCTCCCCAAGGGGGCCACGGGAGAAATCACACAACAAAAAAAGTCCCATCTTTTTCACCTTGAAATTTTGAATTCATTTATAAAAATCAGGCCTCTGCTCAATTAAAGGAATAATACATTAGTATGAAGCTGAGATGAAATTGGCATTGACTATGAAGTAGTGGGTGGCGGTCAGGAAGATTAAAAACCAAAATACGATCACGCCAGATTCAGTCCTCTTAAATGCTGTCACTGCCTCCTACCATGTTTTTACTGACATAAAACAATCCCACGTTGCATGCTGTGCCTGCATGCTTGTGTACTGTGCCTGCATGCTTGTGTACTGTGCCTGCATGCTTGTGTACTGTGCCTGCATGCTTGTGTACTGTGCCTGCACACTTGTGTACTGTGCCTGCATGCTGCGTCTGCGGGACAGTTGCCACCTTTGGTTGATGCTGGACAAGTTTTTCAAAGCACCATAATCAACCACTGTTTTAACGATAATTAAAATCTGAAATGGTAATACTAAGTATCGGGAGTATTACCGTGAACCCAGTAACCATTTCATACTTAGAACAAAGTAAAGATTGATTTGAGGGCCATATGAAATAGTGAAATAAAAACATGCTGTGGATGTGGCCCGCGGGTTGGTAGTTTGAGACTCCTGCAATAAAGTGCTTATTCTCTGTTTCTGAGAGATCTTAAAGAGACCCCAAATTGTGCAGTGCATTTAAGAATTAGGCAAGTATTTACATGGGGTTATCCGCCATGGTACCCTGACCTCCTTGGATGTTCCGCCATTTACCTTTAAGTGTCCGTCTTTATCATAAACAAGGGCCGGCCGGCGGTGGGTCACTGCCTCGGTGCCATGTGCTGCTTGGGCGCTGTAGCGTGCCATTAAAGGCGGCCTCTTTGCCTCGAGAGCTCATGGCTATTAACCTGTCTTTGTGAGGCGGCAGTCTGCCCCCTTGGAATAGAATCTGCTGACTCCCAAATGTGGTCCCCAGCTTTAATTCAGCCCCTAAATCTGTATGGTGAGTGTTTCCTTTTGGAGAATCCGCGCAGGGCTGGGAGCAGTCGGATCGGGGCAATCGGCTTTATCATCCCACTCAAATTTCTCTTCGGCAAGATTCATTAAGCTCAGGGTGACCTCTTGCCCTTCGCTATGACCGGCCCCTAAACAGCATGCAATCAGGAGGCGTAGTGTGAATACGAGGTGTGCGCATGGGCCCAGAGTGTCCAGATGGAAAAAGAAACATTGTATTCTCCATTTGTACACGTACAAGCAGATGTCTTGGTCTCCATGGGAGACAATGACAGGTGAGAGCAAATTTTGGGGATCTGATCCAGGGTCAGCTGGATCAGTTAGGGTTTAGGGCCCTGCTCAAGGTTCCTGTGGTGATATAATTACTTTGCCAGCCTTGAGATTCTAACCGACGGCCATCTAGACATGAGTGTTGATTCCTTACCCACTGGGCTGCATTATAGACCCCCCCCCCCACTTTTGGTGTAAGGATGCCCCCCCACTATTAAATTATTATGAAATTTGATGGCACGCTTCACAGGTAACACCTTGGATGAGATCTGCCGTTCTCATCAGAGCCGGACCCCGGCTCAAGGGCCACCGCTGTCTTGGAGCCAGTTTGATCTGGCTCTGCAAGCTCTCGTGTCTCCTTAGAGATATGACTGCGCACCATGTAATATATTTGTTTTCATAGCTCCCCCTTGGCGGTAGCAATGCACACTGTCGAAAGTGCTGGCATCTGACTTTGTGAGTGCTGACTTCTTCGTATTCTGGGAAGTTTCCTCCAGTCCTGATTCTGTCTGATTAATGTCATTCTAGTCATTTTATGACCACCAGGCGTGACTTTGAAGGACTTTTCGCGTCTCTGGCCACCACTCTGAAAAGCCAGCCTGGTCTTCCCTTGAGCAACTCGGCTCATATGCGCCCCCCGCTGGCCTGTTTGGGGTAAGGCAGAAAGGGTAATGCCCCTAAGACTCACTTCCGTGGTTGTTGTCCCCTGCAAAGCTGAATATTTTATGTCTGCGTGTGCTGGGAATTTAATTAAATGTGTCTCGATGTTGGGTTTGACTGGTCAGTGCATTTTTATGATTGATTTAAGAGAACAGCGCCAAGAGTAATGCTGACCTTCAGCTTTCAAAGTTGATGCAGTTTCACAGTCCTTGTATACGCAGTTTTAAAATGATTTTGCATCACAATCAGGAAGCCATTATCCATGGCCACACAGATACAAAATGCCAGGCAGTGTAGCATGAATGTCAGTTGTGTGACGTATGTGCCCATGACATAACCAGTAACACTTTACTTCAGGGACATGAATAATGTAGTAGTACGTGGTTAGTTAATGCATCAATTAACCAGTAACTATGTACTGATTGAATGTTCATTCATCATTAATCAACCATGACAGTTCATGTATTTCATGGGGAAACCTACACTAATTCATGATTTGTTCTTGAGTAGTAAAAGAGTTAATTTTTTACCCTCAATTGAAGTATTACCATTTCTACCCAAATAGTTAACTGTTTAATAGTTAACAAATTGCCTTAGTAATGCTAATGCATTTATCAAGTGGCACTAACCACAATGCAGCCAGTGAAGAACCAGTATTACCTCACACTTTAGAAGAAACTCTGTGTGTCCTTAGACTGAGCAGATCTGCCCCATCCTGTGTCTTATAAAGGGATACAGTCAGTCCTCTCTGAAATCACATCCTTTACAAGTAGTCAGTCCTCTCTGAAATCACATCCTTTACAAGGGATACAGTCAGTCCTCNAGTCAGTCCTCTCTGAAATCACATCCTTTACAAGGGATACAGTCAGTCCTCTCTGAAATCACATCCTTTACAAGGGATACAGCCAGTCCTCTCTGAAATCACATCCTTTACAAAAGTCATTGATTTTTTTGAAGGGGGCTCATGAATAATGCTTAGTATTTATAGAGTCTGTTTATTTAAATCATGCACGGCACTGGGGCTGACACATGGCAAATGACGAAAACTACAATTTTCTGTGAATTGATTAAAAAAAACCTGTAGGGATTTCAGAATGTAGAAGGCGCCGTTCTTATGCCGTTATTGTATTATTCTGAAAGGTCAGCAGTCTGCAGGTAGTTCATTCTGCACTCTCTTAACTGCATGCTCAGCAATCGCATGTGGAGTGAGCACCTTGCAGCGTGTCGTCTGGGCTGTGGGGGTGCGGCAAGGGGCCCCCCCGAGGTCCCAGGGGTCACAGTTTTAACTGCAGGGTTTAATTTTTCAGGTCCCCAAATGCCAAAAGTCTCGTAGGGGTTAAGGTCATCATGCTGGGATTAGAGTTTTCCCCATAGAAATGAATGGAGTCCCCACTAAGATATGAATACAGGTCTGTTTTTGTGTGTGTGTTCATGAGCGGGTGTGTGTGTGTGTGTGTGTGTGTGTGTGTGTGTGTGTGTGTGTGTGTGTGTGTGTGTGTGTGTGTGTGTGTGTGTGCATGAGCGGGTGTGTGTGTGTGCGTGTCTGTGTGTGTGCGAGCGGGTTTACCTATCCTTATGGGGACATAATGTCCCCATAACGTGATAAATATCCATTTTTTTCCCTTATGGGGACCGGTTTCCTGCTCCCCAGGCGGATTGTGCCGGAAGAGGAAATAATCCGGCGCCTTCCCTCCTGCTTTGGCTTTGGCCTCATCGCTCTAATGGTTTTTCCTTTCCTGTGTTTCCAAACACTCCCTGCACCCTTTATCTTTGGGCTGCATGCTTCCGAGGGTGATGTCAGCCGCTTGGCTCACGCCGCAGACGGAGTGCTGCTCGGGGGGGTCGCGCGTCCACAGAGCCTCCAGCAGGTGGTGACTGACACAAGGTGGCCTGTACACAGGTGTGCATCCCACGGGACTTGAGATCCGCAGATGTGAGGAAGTGCTCTCTTAGATGGGCTCCAGGGTCTTGCCCCCATCACAGACAGCGATCAGACAAACCTCTGGTGTGTGTGTGTGTGTGACTCTGTCTGTCTGTGTGTGTGTGTGTGACTCTGTATGTGTGACTCTGTATGTCTGTGTGTGTGTGTATGTGTGACTCTGTATGTCTGTCTGTCTGTCTGTGTGTGTGTCTGTGTGTGTGTGTGTATGTGTGACTCTGTATGTCTGTGTGTGTGTGTGTGACTCTGTATGTCTGTCTGTCTGTCTGTCTGTGTGTGTGTGTGTGTGTGTGTGTGTTTGCACTCATCGTTGAGCTGTATCAGTGTTTCTGTGTAGGAAATCATGGATTTTTGTGATGCCTTTTTGCAAATTTGAGTTTTGGGAATTCTGATTTCTTATGAAAATTTTTCTCCTCCTTGTTGTTTAAGCACATGTTTAAATATCAAATACTGAACTTCATTCAGTAAACCATTCCATAGAATTACTGACAATCTTCAAGAAATATCTCAAGACCTCAAGAGGTTTGGGGAACCTAAGCTAACACATTCTGCCAGTGACCTGCTATCTCTGACAATTCCCTGGTTATGGTCTCTTGGCAACACTGGATGTTCTTGCTTAGTATTTTATAATTGTCTAGTGCAAAGTTCTCATGGTGTTTTGACTTGATTGGCTAATTGATTGATAGGCTCTGCGCATGGTTCTAGATTAGGGGTGGGTAATCTTAGCCTCAAAAGGCCGCTGTGTGTGCGGGTTTTCACTGCAGCTCCCTAATTAGATCACTTATTAGAGGACTTCTTGACTGTCCTCACACCTGGGCATGAAGAGCTGACCTATAGGTTATCCCAAAAACCTGCACACACACTGGCCTTTTGCGGATAAGATTACCCAGTCCTGCTCTAGATCCGAAGCTAACTTACACTAGTGTATCAGGTTAGACGATCACAGTTTTTCTACCCTCACCTTAAATATCGGTCTGCCAAAAGCCTGAGTGCTGAGTCCTATTTTCTACACTGTTTTCACCTATGATTGCATCCCTACAAATGGTCCTAATACCATCATAAAGTTTGCAGATGACAGCAAGGTGATAAGCCAATCAGATGTCTTGGTCCCGCCTCCTCTAGTTGCTTGGACCCTCCTCCTCTACAATCTGATGGGTTAAACTATCATATCCTGCACCCCCATATCCTGCAATAATGTCATTATTTGCAGTGTCTTCCACGAGTATGCTAGTATTTCTGAGAAATACACCGTACAGCGTGTCTGGTGTTGGTTAGTCATTGGCAGGTGTGACTTCATTCCACCAGCTGCTGTTAACAGCCCTGTGATTAACGAGTGTCGCGACGCCACCAGATGAATGTCACTGACATTTACAATACCGACATTTACACGGCCGTCACCGTCACTCATTACTGCCCGGCGTTAAGCCACAGTAATAATCTGCTGAGTAATTGTAATCACACCAAATGTCAGTTTGCTAGTCGCGGAGACGCAGAGCGCAGCTGGTAAGTGGCAGAACGTTCTCGTTCTTCCGCTGGACGGAGCGGTGGAGGTGAACCCGTGAGGGAACGGGAAGCCAGTATGGAGATGTGAAATATTGACTGGTCACTGTAAATGTTTTGTTTCTGGGGTGGGGATGTAATCTTCTGGGGTGGGGTGCATTTTTTGTGCAGCCCTTGAAGCGCCATGTGATTCTATCTGTGTGTTTTCTTTTCCCAGGTGAGCAGGGGAGACATTGAAGACCCCGCCCCCCCCAGCACTATACCCAGGCTACCAGGAGTAGCCCGTCTAGCCTGCCTGCTCACCGTGCCCCCCCCAAACCACGACAGCGCCACCTACAGTCACCTGTCCACAGATAAGACCTGCATCGGCGGCCAGGTCGCGCTCCTCCGTCCATCCAGAAGAGAACCCGTCGGCCATTCGAGGGACCTCTGCTGCCCATCAGGCACACTGGCAGTTTAAAGAGACATTTTTTTGGACAGGTTCTTAGAGGCCGCTGGGATGGAGGAATAGATGACAGGCTCTCGGTTCCCTGCTCGCCGACGGGGTCCCTCTGCAGCCCGCTAATGAGCGCCTGTCTGTGCTCGCAGCTCCATCGTGTTTTCGAGAGGTGCTGCCGCACACGGTCGCATCCCCCTGCCCCTCCCGCTGTTTATTCGGGTTCCCCCCCGCCCCTCTGAATATCAGGCAGCCTGTCGCCTTGTCGGTTTGCATCTGTAGCCGTGTGGCACATGACAAGCCGCACTGGGATTGGCTGGGTTATTTATCCGTCCGCTGGGCCTGTCCTGTCGTGTCCTGTTGGCGCTGTAATTGATGTGGCATCAGTGAAATAAATAGACCTGTCATCAGCCCCCCCCCCCCCAGGTCGTCTGGCTCTGAGGGAGTCATTGGTCTCTGCCCAAATCCAAACGTCCTCATCAGAACCTCTCTCTCCCCCTGGCCTGCTTTGCCCAAGCTGCTCAGCTTCCCCATTATCCAGACGGTCTGCAAGTCCTGCCAGCGGCCTGCGTGGAGGATGGACGATGTCCCCACGCTGGACTACGAGCTGCTGTCTGTGGGGCCCTCGCACCCGGGGCCGCCCAGCAGCCCTCCACTGGCCGGTGACGCCGAGCAGAAGACAGCCTTGGCCTTCGTGGGTCTGCTGCTGCTCTTCTTGGTCTTCCTGCTGGTGCGCTGCTTCCGCATCCTCCTAGACCCCTACAGCCGCATGCCTGCCTCATCCTGGACTGACCACAAGGAGGGGCTGGAGAGAGGTCAGTTTGACTATGCGCTGGTTTAGCAGGGGAGGAGGGCGGACTGCGCAGATGCCTGCCTTAACCCCAGCTGCAAACCTGACCTTCAGCCTAACTCTGACCCTCATGCCAAGCCGCAAGCCAGAGACACTGCACCCTGGTGTGACACTGCACCCTGGCGTGACACTGCACCCTGGAGCAGAGCACTTCACCTCAGCGTCACCTTAGCTATCGTGCATCAATGGAGTCACGAAAGCCAGCGTATGCGTTCACTGTTCTGACATTAATCACCACAACTTTAATGTTACAAACACTATAGATGTACCACTGGAGTTCCAGCTCAGTGTGGACCGCCAGTCAAAATATATGTTGATCTTTACAGCGACATACTTTGGCTTTCAGGAGGAAGCTTAGTAGGTGTTTCGGGAGTGAGATGCAAGGTGCATCATATCACGTTGTACACAACAAAGACTCATTAAAGTATAATCACCTGGATTACATAGATGGCTTCACTGCATGATAAAATTCTGTGCATCACAACATTCACTGCTCATGAAGAAGACAAGCTAAATATTTTTCTGAACATCTTTAGAATGTAAGTCCGTAAGGAATATTGCCATCATACATACTGCTCTAACATCTGACTTTCCTTTCAAATGTCTTCATGGATTTTCGATAACAATGCTGTTTAAAGAAGCTACATTCCCTTTAAGAAACCTTGCATCCCTTTAAGATATTTTCTACAGCGACAGCAATGTTAAAAATTTAGAGATTTTTGGCTTCAAATGGAATAATTATCTGACTGAAAAGCCATATAAACTATCTTTTATTCTGTTTATTGTACAGTTCCCCCGCTGCTAATCTACCTGCCCAAGCATAGTGACAATGTTGTGATACAGTGGGAACTTTTAGAGACCTCAGATATGCTTTATTTTTGTATCCGGACTCACCTTTGGAGTCCCTTTTTGCTAATGTGAGTGTTTTTTCTGATTTGTAGTTCCTGATGTTATTGGATTTTCAAGACACCGAAGCTTTAGATAAAGTTACAGGGTTGATGCATGAATAACAGTACATTTTAAGGTTTGGATATTTTGGATGTAGTCTAGAGCAGTGCTTCCCAATCTGGTCGTTGGGAATCCACAGTCCCTCCACCTTCCCAGCTCCCTACCAGACAGTCCACATTTTTCATCCCTCCCTTAACCTGGTACAGTAGGAGAAAAATATGGACTGTCAGTGAGTTCCGGAGGGTCGGATTGGGAAACACAGCTCTAGTGGGCTTTCCTGCTGTTCGTGTCCGATGTGGTGGGTAATGCTGTTAAATAAAATAGGGGGTTTCCTCTCCACGTTCTGTCTCTCGTCATTTCTGCCTGCAGGACACTGCAGAAGCTGTCCCACATGACTATGTCACCAAGCTAAATTAAACTCACAAGACATTTTAAAAATATAACCCACAATATTTTTATTGCCATTTTTTTCCTGTTTCCAACAAGTGTTTTTTAAAAAAGTCAACCATTGGCAGTACAGATGTTAATGTGTCCAAAGACCACATAATGCTCATTAAACTTTTCCCCAGCAAAATGTAAAAAAAAAAAAAAAAAAAAAACTTAAAGTACTTAAAAGTTTACAAACTGACAAAGTGGACGGGAAGTAAGGACAGTCGGCTCAAACGATGACTCGTGTCTGCGTTCTGGAGGGCTCTGCCACACTTCTCGAGTACGCGTAAGGGAGTACTTCTTTGGTTTGGTTGGGTATCCATCCCCCCCCCCCCCAAAAAAAAAAGTTACAGATCAATGGTATCGCTGTACTTCAAGTTTGACGATGCAGGCTGAGATACAGTACATACACACATCTTTTACATATAGTGGCAAAATAAAATATAAACAGACAAAACCAGAAAAAGATACAAAGTATACAGGTTCCCACAATAGAAACGGTTATGCATAAATATAGCTCCGGCTGTCTTACAGTGCAGTAATCGCAATGTTGAGAGAGCAAAACTTAACTAGCACCAGAGGCTGAATGTCAGCGACCCCCCCCGGCGGTGGTACTGATGAGGGTGGGGGTTTGCCCCGCCCCTATGTGCCCGTTTCAGTGTATCGTTAAATGCCGGTCTCCTTCCACCATCAGAGCTCCGCGCTCACCATCAATCACTGCATTTAAAACAAAAAAAAAACACACAGGGACAATAGATAGTGGGATGAGGGCGTGGCTGCGGATGTGGCGGATTCGGGATGCGAGAGCACCGTCAACATACCTTCAGTCTCCTTTTTAGAAGTTTTTAGTCTGGCAACCATAAGGCGCTTAAAAAAAAAATCTACATTTCACTTAAAAATATACAATTTAATTTTCATGAAGCAAGTTTAATATTGGTTCTCAGCACTGAGACAATACAAAAAAGACACGGATACAAACAACGGAAACTTGTCATAAAATTGTCATGTTTGCGATCGAGATTCAAGACTGCGGATTTAAGATTTCGTACATCTGTGATTGTGTAGCACCAAGGTTCCTTACGGAAAAAGGCTGTGAGATGTTCGTTAGCTGACCTGATGAGTATGTTGTTCTGAGGTTAGGTGTTCAACTGTGCATGCGTCTGTGGTAGATGCTGCAAAAAAAAAAACCCTCCGTCTCCCACGTCACGGAATGTCCCTGTCTGCTGTGCGCTCATCGTTTTTTTTTTCTTCTGCCCAACTATGTATCGTAACGACCAAAAAAAAACACAGTTTGTTCAGGGTGCTTGGTATGGTGAATTCACAAACTGAATTACGCTGCTCACCAATGCACTGGCATCTTCTTCACCACTTTGGGATCTGTGGTTGTATGTCTGTGTTCGTGTTCTACTTTGGCACGTCTCCCTGATATATTAATGAAGTTTCAGTGCACGATGAAACTGCAGCACCATGAGAACCACGTCCCGTTCGTCCAATCAAACCTTGGGGTTTCACGCACGGCCATATTCCTGCTCCCTAAGTTCTGTAAAAAGGGACAGTGTCGCCTCCTGCTGGAAATAGCTATACGACGGTTACGGTGTGGTTCTTGTACAGTATGTGAAGAAAGTTGAGGTAACTGAACGCAACAGCACAAGTAAACACACAGAAGACACCTAAACTTTCAGCTTTGTGACGGGATGATTATATGGCAACATTAAGCAGTTATTTGATCATTTGAGTTTTAACTCGCTTCCTTTTTCTTTAAATCTGAAACCATTGCAGTCCTTCATGTGAAAATGTTTCTTTTACACAATATTATAAATTGGAGATTACACAAAATATTGCATGGAGCAAAGAACACTCAGATTACAGAAAGGTGAATGACTGTTTGGAAACAAGAGAAAAACTACTCACATTATAAATGTATTGCACCCTTATGCAGGGTGAACTCAAAACATCATTTGGTAAAGATTATCCAATGTTTTATAAGGTGACCTGGCCACTTCCGAAGATCCATTAAAAGAAAATTGTACATAATGCAATCGGACGTGTCGTCCTCTAAGGTTCTGCTGTCACGGTTAACCCCAGCCCCCCAGCTGTTACCATGGGAGGGTCAAGTCATTTGCGGGCTGGGCAGGAGGGAAGCAGATGATTCCCAGTGTTACCAAGGCCTTTTGTACCCCACTGGGGGCACTGATGGGGGGAGTGGGTAGCCTAAAAACCAGGCACCTTCCTGCAACCTTCACACGGGGGCCGGGGGCTGAGGGAGGGGTGGGGGAAGTGGGCGGGGCGTAACCTGGCAATAATGTGAACGAAAAACAGCACACAAATACTGAACGAAGAAGTGGTAGCTGGCTGACCGAGTTCCTCAGAGAGCGCCCCCCCCAGAGTGTGGCCGGCAGTGCGGGGCTGGCACTCAGTGCAGGTGGATGTCCAGCTTGATGTGCAGTGCGGCGCCAATCTCGCCCTGCAGGTAGTCGGCGTCGTGGCGCTCCTCCAGGTGCCGCAGCTTGCGTGGGCCAAACAGGGGAAGCCCGGCGATCTCCAGGCGGTAGGAGCCCGGCGCGGGGGCCCGGCGGCCCAGCCGCAGCACGCTCTTGCCATCGCGGCGCTCCAGCAGGCGGAAGTGGTCGCCCTGGTTGCCGTGGGTGATGACATAGCGCACGTGGTGCTCCAGCGGCTGCAAGGCCGGCAGCAGCTCCAGCAGCGGCTCCTTGTTCTGCAGCTCAGCCAGGCTCAGGTTCATGGGGATGGAGGTCTGCGTGTCCACGCTGGCCAGGCTGACTCCACCCTGTATTTTTTTGGGGGGGGGGGTTTCGGTGACTCTCAGGGTCCCCATGCTAAATGCTAAGCTAATGAGGCTAAAGGGACGCTAACATTCTGACATCACCTTGCTGACTTTGCAAAGAACTATAATTTGGAGTGACCTTCAAAGGAGAACAATCAGTGAAGAGCAGAATAGGGCAGAATGTTGCAGGAGCTGTGTGACACCACCTGGTGACGGCGACGGGACCCACCTGCTTCAGCTCGTTGGCGCTGCGCCGCTGTCGGCCGTTCTTGCCCCCGTTGACTTTACACTCGTAGCAGGCCTCCGGAGACAGGCTCTCATCATCGTCTTCTTCCGGGCCGGGGGCGAACTGGCCCTGGAAACCCATGCCAGTGACGCAGTGCCTGCTCGGAAACAGAAAATCAGGATGCGGAGCGGGCAGCGCACCCCCAGGGGGTTCGGGTCAGAGCAGCACCCGGCCTGCCTCGGAGGACTCTGGAGCGCTGCTGGCCACTTGCTCACCCCTGTCCCGCTCTGTAGTAGCCCCCAGGGCAGCCGCACAGGTAGCCGCCGTCCGTGTTGGAGCAGCCGAAGCTGCAGGGGTTGCTGTTCATGGAGCATTCGTTGATGTCCTGGCAGCTGCCGGTGTTCTGCTCGAAGTCAAAGCCTGATGGGCACACGCACTTGTAGCTGCCCAGCGTGTTGTAGCAGGAAGCAGAGCCGCACATGTCCACCGAGGAGCACTCGTTCTCATCTGGAGGGAGATGATGGTGAGGGAGCTTCCAGATTCAAGGTTCGGGTCTTACTATCACGTGAAATTCTTATGCTGCAGCTGCTCGTATTGCATAATAGCAGCACAATACAGGACAAGACAGTGCAGGACAAATAGCAGTGCAATACAGGACAAGACAGTGCAGGACAAATGGCAGTGCAATACAGGACAAGACAGTGCAGGACAAATAGCAGTGCAATACAGGACAAGACAGTGCAGGACAAATGGCAGTGCAATACAGGACAAGACAGTGCAGGACAAATAGCAGTGCAATACAGGACAAGACAGTGCAGGACAAATGGCAGTGCAATACAGGACAAGACAGTGCAGGCCATTCGTGATCAGCAGCCTCGGAGCTGTGTGTGGGGCTGTGCGCCGCGGGACACACCCACCTACGCACTGGTTCCACTGGTAGTGCTGCACGTAACCCTGGGGACAGCCGCAGCGGAAACCGCCCAACATGTTCTGGCAGCCATGCTGACACCGGTGGTTCCCGTTGCACTCGTCCACATCTTCCGGAGAAAGGGAGACAGGGCAAGACCTTACGGCTAAGTTTGGGGGGGGGGCGTGGGCTCAAAGGGGAGGTGTGGGGCGGGGCAGGGCGGGGGGGCTCACCCTGGCAGTCCAGGCCGCTGCTGTCCAGGGAGTAACCCTTCTGGCACTCGCAGTTGAAGCTGCCGGGCGTGTTGAGGCAGGAGCCGCGCGTCCCGCACAGACTCGCCTGGCTGTTGCATTCGTTGTTGTCTGTAGGACAGAGGCGGGCGTGAGTCTCAGTGCCCCCCTCAAAAAATGCTTGATGCGGACCCCAGCGAATGAACCCCCTCCCCGCTTACCGATGCAGGTGGTCTGGTGCTGGGTGAAGCCGGAGGGACACTTGCAGGTGAAGCCCCCGATGGTGTTCACGCATAGGAACTGGCAGTTGTGCTGCTTCGTGGAGCACTCGTCCAGGTCTGCGAGGAGGCGGAGCAAAGGGGGGCTTTACTCTCACACAGCAGGGGCGCACAGGGGCGCACACATCTCAAAGGAACATGGCTGTCGTGAGAATGAATCCTGCTGGGGTCTATGGCTGCTGTCTCTTAAAGCAGCGTTCCTCAGCCCGGTCCTCAGGGACCCCCCCACAGTCCATACTTCCGCCCAGCTCCCAGCTCCCAGCCCACCAGTACCAAGTTTTTATGGTGTGTTCCATTCGAACTCGGAAGTCAGAATTTCCAGAATCTCCTAGTGGAAAATTTCATCTGGAATGCTGTCAAAGTCAGAATTCTGACTCAGAAAGTCAGAGGAACCCCTGCAACCCCGACCTCAGAATTCAAGATGGCTGCTCCTTTACCAACCGAAGTTCAAGCTGTAGTTATATACTGTTTATTAGCACTTATGTATTATTTGTGTCTCATTAAATCAGTCGTACACAAAGTGCTGTCCAACTGCTATCTGTGGATATGCTGCTATGGTGTTTGCATGCACCAAATATGTTGTTAACAAATGACATTGCAAAAAAGGGCTAACAAGGAACCTGGCTAGACCTGGATTTGCTAAATGGCTTTCCGACTTCCTGTACTGCAACACAGTTAACTCGAGTGTGATGTCATTCCCAGCTCTGAATTCCGACCTCCGACGTGAATGGAACACAGCACTGATGTTCTTGATTGACTGGGAGCTGGGAGGTTGAGAAATGCCCTCTCAGAGTATTTAGGTTCAGGATCTCAGGTTCAGGATCTCAGGCTCAGGATCTCAGCACCGCCTACCCTTGCAGGTCTTGCCATCTGGCTGCAGGATGTACCCCCTGGGACAGGAGCACAGGTAGCTGCCCTCTGTGTTCTTGCAGAGGAAGTTGCACGGCTTTGGGGACTGGGTGCACTCGTCCACATCTGAAACACAGGAGGGAGGAGAACTATGACATGGGCCAGGAGGGCTGCGTGCCCCCCATTCCAGCCAATGGATTGGCCAGGGAGGCCAAGACAATCTCGTGGATAGAATGAGTTCCACAAAGCGGTTAGAGGGGTCGGTGTTACTGCTTTCCATGCAGCAGCTGCTCTCCAGTGAGATTTAGTATGCAAGGGGCTTACCCACGCAGGCAGTGCCTGTGAAGTCTGGGGTGTAGCCCACATTGCAGTGGCAGCGGAAGGAGCCGATGCTGTTGATGCACTGGCCATTCTTGCACATGTTCGGCATCACCTGGCACTCGTTGATGTCTGCAATGGGGACAGTACAGTGCTCAGAGACAGGGACAGGGCCACCAGGCACGGGGAACCGGACCGCGGGGCCACCAAACCGGGGCCACCAAGCACGGGGCACCGGACCGCGGGGCCACCAAACCGGGGCCACCAAGCACGGGGCACCGAACCGCGGGGCAACCAAACCTGGGCCACCAAGCACGGGGTACCAACCGCGGGGCCACTGTGCTGGGCTCTGAGCAGCATTTTCCCATGCGATGGAGGCAGCGTTGCGTACACAGAGCAGTGGAGCGTGCCATCGCTGGACACTCATTTGATTTGGCCGTCTGCCCCTGCCTCCTCTTAGTAGGAGGTGTAATAAACACCAAATGGAGGGTTTTTGTACCACCCCCATTGGCTTTTAAATTCATGCTTTATTTGGCATTTATACAAGTATGAGTACAGGTACAATGGAATGCTTCTTTTCACATATCCCATCATGCTCTCCTTTGAGACACCCACACACACACAAGGAATACACACACCTCAGAAGCACTGCGGTCCCCCCTCTCCCACCTGAAATGGAACAGTCCACATAGGTGGCAAGCACCCTCACCTCTGCCGTCGGTGGTGTAGCCCGGGCCCAGGGGACACATGCGCTTGTACTGCACTGTGCCGGGCAGCGGGCAGAGCTCACAGCTGGGGCCCCAGCCGCGGCCGCCGTTGCAGCAGCACTCCGACTTGGTGACGCTGTTGCGGTTGGTTGAGCTCTGCTGACACATGGTCTGCAGCACCTCCGTGAAGCAGAAGCCCTGCCTGTTATCTGTGGGGGGGGGCGGGGGAGGGGGGAATGCCGTCAGGCAGGAGGATCCAGGCCCATCAATAGTTTGGGTTCGACTCCATAACCTCAAAAGTCACGCTCACTACAACCGTCAAAACACACTTCTTTTGCTCTCTGGACGCCGACATTAGACTTCGTAGAGAATCCCAGCAGGTTGTCTGGGCAGCAAGCAGCACACAAGCTCAGGCCAATGGCTGTAGGTCAGTGAGGCGCTTTTACTGTCCATTTCATAGGTTTCACATTTATTGGAAACGCGCCCCCTCTGGTGAGCGAAATCCTCTGCAGGGAAAAGTCCAGAAACACTAACAGCACGGCCTGACTGTCGTAACTTTCAACGTGGTTAGTTTCCCTGAAAATCACATAGAAACATCTGCTAGTTATCATGGGTCACTAGCGACCAGCTGCCAAACTGGGCAGCTATGATTACACGTTGAACATTTACATAAATTAATATGAAATATTAATCAGCAAAAAAGGCCGTGTGACCTTTATATTTACTAGCATGCTGGTTTATTATGGTAATTTAACATTGAAATATTTTAAAACACCCGGGGGTGTTAGCTACTCCCCAGGAAGGGTTAGTCTGGGCCCCCAGTGCCACCCAATCCCCAATCGGGGCCCCTAGTATTGATCCCCAGTACGGGCCCCAAGCTCAGGCCCCCAGTATGGAACCCTAGCACAGGCCCGCAGTATGTATGGGCCCCCAGCGGTGGCCCCCAGCGAACGCGGGCTCGCTGACTCACCGATGCACTCGGTGCCCGTGACGCTGGCCTGGAAGCCCTCGTTGCACTCGCAGAGGTAGCTGCCCACCGTGTTCACGCAGCGGCCATTCTTGCAGATTCCTGGCTTCGCGCGGCATTCGTTCAGGTCTGCCGGGGCACAAGTGGGGTTGATATGGCGAGGGGTTGGGGTTAGGGGGGGGCCAAACGCACTGCCTTACATCACACCTGTCACTGATTAGGCAGCTTCCGTAGGACACGAAGAGCAGTCAGTCTGCGCCCCCCCCCCACCCCTTGAGCCACCCTCTCACCCATGCAGCCGTCCCCGTCCGGCCTGCGCTGCATGCCCGGGGGGCAGATGCACATGAAGGTGCCGATCAGGTTCTTGCAGGTCATGCCCTTGGAGGCGCAGTCGTCCAGACCATCAGAGCACTCATCCTGGTCTGGGGGGGCGGGAGGGGGGGGGTTAGTGCACAGAGACACAGAGACAGAGGAGATACGATGAACGCAAGAACAAGCAGGGAAACAAAACTGCAGAGGATCATCAGTATCATACAGAGGAGTAGCTTCTGGTTTCGGGCCCCATAAAAGCATAACATATCAGGCCTCCAATCCAGACCAATACAATTATGCTCTGAATTTTTTGGGGCCCCCATCACTCAGGGGCCCTTGGAATGGTCCTCACCCCCCCCCCCCCCCCCCCCCCGCC